TAATGGTATTTGCAAGATCTCAAAACCGGGCCTGAAACGAAAAGCAACCCAATGCCAGAGGCCAAGAAAGATAGTTGATTGTTAAAATCTCAATTCCCCACAGGACCCAAAACATGCTGTATTATATGCCTGGGGTATAAGACTAAAACAGTCCCAAGGCTTTTTTCCCCTCACCCCCACTGGTTGTTTTCAACCCAAACAAAAAGTTTTTTAGAAAAGCGTATCTACTGCAAGCTTTAAGAATCAAAAAGCCACCTTATAGTTCAGCCAATAGAACAGCAGTATTATATTTTAGAAATGAACACAGGAATTGGCAAAAGAAGGCTACTAAATGTATAACAGTATAAAGTTTCCAATGGCCTAAACCAGTGATTAAAAAACAGCAAGGTAAGGTGCAAGGAAGACTGTGAGCATAATGGCTTATTGAAGAGTGGTTTGCCAAGTTTTCCATTCCAGCCAAAGACGGCAATAGCAGGTGATTGTGAATTTTGCTAATTAAGCCACTCTTTCAGCTAGAAGAGGACTAATCAGGGGAAAGTCGCTTTCGTAGTGTTGGTTGGAATGAACTCACCAGCTTCACCCCTTGCTTTGGTACATGGTTAGGGAATTTAACCCCAAACATTTGGATATAAGCCAGATAATGCAACTCTGGTGCAGATGAGCAAACAGCATCCCCAATTTTGTGCAGTAATATTTCCTTTTTTTCCAATAAGTTGACCCAAAGCCATTTCTGAATCTGAAACACCCACCCCATCATACACCACAGTGCGAAGGAATCAGTTCCCCCAGGATTGTAATATTCTTAAAATGTCCCCATGGTACTGACATTGATAAATCAGATGAAAGGAGACTTATGACCAAATCCTAATGAACAGATCCAGCCTCATTAAAATCAGCCGCATTTTTAGTTGTTTTCCAAGTATCAAAAGTAAATCGAGTGAATGCTGTGTGCTTTACAGCACAAACAGGAAACTGCAGTTGGTTTTCCAGACAATATAAACAAATATAAGGGCTTAACACCAGAGTAAATCAAAGTATCTATACACCATGCACGACATACAGCATAAGATGAAATTTCGGTCCGCTCTCCCATCAAATATGGTCAATCGCATTGATATGCCAAACATTGTTTAAATGCCTGATGAAATGTTGTTTTTAGGACAATACTCCAAAGCTGGAGTGTCTATTTTTCTTCAGTGGTGTGATGATAGCTGCATACTGTAGCTCTTTTTGCACACTGGGGTCACGTAAGAACACATCAAATGACAGGAAGTAGTAGGCCTGTTTCCGTTTGAGCTATTTATCTGAGCCAGCAGCGTCTCA